CTAGCACTCGACTTTTATCCAAGGTAGGTATGGCGCGACCGTCGCTTGTAGAAAGTGTTCGTTATATCAGCGTGTGTCCGCATTTGGGGATGTTTGCTTGGTCTACCTCTGAGTGTAGAGCAATATAGCAGTAGCTTAGACTTCTCCGCCGAGCAGAATATCCCAGTTTCTTGCAAATACCGTTTACTGTGTCATTCGCTTCCTGTAATCTTTCTTCACTGGAACCATTACTGCCATCGCACACCTAGAGGATGATGTCGTCGGCATAAATCGTGTGATCAAGTCCTTGGATGGTTTTTAGTTCTGACAGAAGGCCGATGAGGGTGAGGTTAAACAACAATAGAGTGATCAAAGAGCCCTGCAGGGTGCCCACGCTTCCCATGGTTATTTCTAATGATCTGAGTGTACCCACAGTGATCGCGGCCATTCTGCCCGTAAAAAATGCCCTTATATAGCTTTACGTGCAAAGCCTCAAGATTAGGGTGCTTATTTGGTTTCGATTGGTGCTATTTGTGATAATATCAAAAGCCTTCTTGGGTTCTAGACCAAGTATGCCCTTAGTGGAGCGTCCTGTGCTGTCTGTGATGTGATGCTTGAGCTGCAACATCGCATCCTGGGTTGAAAGATATTTGCGGAAGCCAATATTGATGTGTGGTAAAAGGTCATGGTCTTGGACATAATTTGATAGTCTAGCCAAAAAATCGCGTTCCATCAATTTGCCTATGCAAGGTGTCAAGGAGATGAACTTAAGATTGTGAGTATTCACTGGTTTTTCTGGTTTCAGAATCAGAAGCCACGCGTTTTTTCACTGCGGTGGCAAAATTCGAGTGTTTCAGCAGTGATACATTTAATTTGTTATATGCGTGATCGGCTCATCGTCTAAATGTTGGAATATTTTGTTGGTCGGGATGCTTTGAGAACCCGGTGCAGGTTCGGTGTTAAGTTTTTGTAGGGTAGCACGGATATCCGCTTCGGTAAACTCTTCGTCTAGAGTAGTGTTCACCTGGTCCGTATAATCTGTATGCCGCTGGAGAGGAGCCTGACAGATGTATTTGAGCTCTACCTCCCTAAGGAATTCTTCCTCGGTGCCCTTGCACGCATGCATTAGTTTATTGATGGCTTGCCGGTGGCCGGTTTTGTTGTCTTCTAGATCGAGCAGGGATCATAGAAAACGCCACGTTTCACTGAGACTTAGCTGCCTGTCCATCAAATCACAGGTTTTGTCCCAGTGTTGTCCGCCTAGCTGTCTTGCATACATCTCTATCTCCGTGTTGAGGAGTTATATGCGTTTTCTGAAGTTTCTGTTGTGTTTGTGTTTTTCACCTCTTTTGAAGCGATTGCTTTGCCTTCCACATGTGGAGGAGCTGGTTATTGATCTCTTCGAGGTGTTCCACGGGAAAAACAATTTGGGTGGCATTATTACCATCCTGTTAAGGGTGTGCGTGCAGTGCTCTATGCCGCTGATGAGTTGGATTTTCTTCTCACGTAATTTGCGGAACTAGGTCCAGTCTACCAACTTTAGATGTTTTTCCGTAGGTTTACGTCGGTCACCTGTACCTCGATGATGTAGTGGTCACTACCCAGGTCCTCTAGGGTATTTTAGGGCGAAGCTCCTTACGGCGTGGGTAGTGCGGCCTGTGTCGTCGTAGTCGTCGTAGTAGCCAGTTTCATTGCAACACATTTCAATGAAAACGTTGTCACTGTGTATCCACGGAGTGAACATTTATGAGTGGAGCAAAGCGTCCATCAGTTCATGCTCCCGTCCATGCGCCCGTGCGTTCATTTCGGGCGGCGTGGCCTCGTGCTTCTTAACGATGATGAGCTTCCAGACGTCGGTGGATGAGGCACTGATGTTAGCCAATTTCTTGTTGGTCTTACGCACACGCACTAGTATTACCACGAGTACGGCTGCGGAGAGCTTCGCCTCACTCGTAATCATTCAGCTCGTGAATACGCCCCGCCACGGTGGTCTAGTGGCTAGGGTACTCGGCTGCTGACCCGCAGGTCGCGGGTTCGAATCCCGGCTGTGGCGGCTGCATTTCCGATGGAGGCGGAAATGTTGTAGGCCCGTGTACTCAGATTTGGGTGCACGTTAAAGAACCCCAGGTGGTCAAAATTTCCGGAGCCCTCCACTATGGCGTCTCTCATAATCAAATGGTGGTTTTGGGACGTTAAGCCCCACATATCAATCAATCAGCCTCTTGGTTACGCAGTGATTATTTTTCAGGTGGCTTTTTATGTGTTTCTCGTGAATGGTAGATCAGGTGTAGGGTGTACACTGCAACTAGTGCCCGTGCATGTGGTTGTGCTAGGGTGGGTGATGAGGATAAATTCCTCGTGCTGCAAGTCAAACCAAAGTGCACTGCCTTCAGAAAACACACACAAAAATATTCCCAGGCAGTGTGTGGTGCGTAAACTCCCTTTATTAGAAAGGGGTTTCGGCCAGCGATGCTCAGGGCGCATTGAAATAGTGTGAGAAATCTGTACTTCTTTTCTTTTGGGTTGCTGTACATGTTTAGTATAAAAGACCTTCACGTGTCTTGCGTTGCAGAACGAGTTTGAGAAGTATATTATCTATATTGCTGATTTCTTTGTCGTGTGGCGTGAAGGTAAGGTTGTGCCTAACAAAGATGGTCGGCATTTCCGATCGAGCGATAGCCTGCCAACTTAGTGAGGCCGTGCATGTCTCCTGCAGTAAAGTAATATCTAGCTTGACTTTTTCCTTAAGAGATTGGTAAAGATTTGCTTGCTTATTTACGTAGCTTCTACAATTCCATCGCCAAGTCGTGTAGACCGGCTTCTAGCCATAATAATATGCGGGGGTAGAAATGTCTCCGTCGGTCTCACACTGAAGACCGACGAGAAAGTTTGCTCCACACTCGCGATAGGGTCTAGTCCGCTAGGTCGCAGGGGAGTAATTCTAGCCTCAACAGCGACGAGTCACTGTCGTAGGAGTTTGTTTTGTTGAATTTTACTATTTTGTTTATGCGGTCAGTAAGAGCCAAGATCAGTTGGGATGAGTTGCTCATCTATTCATTTATTTCTTTGATTCCTTCCTGAATTTTCTTCGGGACTTCTGTCTCGGGCGTCACGTGAGTGGGTTTGTTTTCGTTGGTTTCGATTTCTGCTTTAAGTTTAGGAGACAGTAGTGTGGTACCTTCCTCCATTTATCAGTGGCTGTAACAGCTAAAAGTGGTGGTGCTACTGGAGGAGCATGTTCCGTTCGTTTATAACTGTGTAAATCATTGTTGATATTCCTGTTTTCCTCTCCTAAAGAAGTCAGTTTCTGGTTGCATTGAGCGCTGCGCTATTTACGCCTCGAACTTATCAAGTTTTTTTTTTTGTGAAGCGGCCTCTTCAGACGCCGAGCGCGCCCCTTGATGACGTCTGCCCAGCCCACATTAAAGGGCGCGCCACGTCTAGGTGTACAACTCGGAGATCTTGACCGGGACCGACAGTGGGGCTGAAAGCGAGACCTCGACCAGGCTTTCTTTCCGGGTTTCCGGGTAGGAGCAGGATCCCGCTGCTCGAGGCTCTCCTCGACGGGCGTTGGCTTTCTTGGGTAGTCTTTACATTGCGGTTTTTGTCGGTCCCATCGCCGGCGTTTCACCAGGTACGGTGTCATGTAGCGTGCCGTGCGTGCCTTCTCTGCCATCTGGTGGTCGCCGCCGCATAGTTTCCGAGTGGGCTTGCATAGGTGATCTTGCGGGGCTTGGCCGTACTACAGCCATGGCACATGCGGACTTTCGGGTTTGGGCATACGCCTATGCGGTTCCCCGAGCGACCACAATGATAACACGTTTCTATGTGTTTGCGGTATAGAGAGCACCACAGCAGTGCTCCACCATTGTGGTAGAGCACTGTTGCAAGACCAGCGAACGATAAGATCACCGTCGTTGTGTTCCTGAGGCGTTTTGCAGCGATGAATGTGGTGTTCTTTGAAGTAATCACATTAGCCGTAATATTTTGCGGTATGTTCCAAGGGAATATCTCGTATCACTCTTTTGGACCACAGTCTGGTGCTGCTTAGTATGCGCTGGTATCGTAAGTCTTGCTGCGGACCACAATGCGAGAGATTTTCTGGTATCGATCAGCACGCCCATCGATGGGTGTGCTCACAACGATGATGTTTTGCTGGAAATCGCGGCATATTGTGTCCTCATCTTGAGCTTCTCTCAAAATTTTCGGCGACGTGGCACACGCTAGCCACCAGTCGGATGGCTCCGTGGTCGACGACTAGAAAACCGCCTCTAGATCGGATGATAATCTTGTAATTGTATTGGGGTAGTGGAGGCATTCGGCTTAATATTTTTATTTGATCTTCTTGCTCGCTCTGTGTCTCGCTTTTATTCACTCGTTGAGAATCCGCACCGGCAACTTCATTGATCCTGTGGGGCTCAATCCTGTACGTTCCTCAAATTCTTGACGAGAAATCAGCTCTTCGTCCACAGAAACATGTGCCCATTGAGACGAGATCCGCGAGAATGAAACTTGATGTGCGGGTCACCCTTGTTGCATGACTGGGGACGTTGGGCACGCTACGCAAACAAAGCATGAATTCTGTGAAGTATGAATTCCGTTGGCGAACCCGGGCGGCTGCGGGCATCGTGCCAATGCACGGATGGCAGAACAGATGCACGCGAGCATGAGACATTGAAGGCTTTCGCTTTAATGTTATATCTTCCATCATCCTATCTCTTCAATCCTTTTAAGATTACCTTGACTCTAGGTTGCTAGATTACATTAGTTAGTAGGATTTCACTCTATTTCACTCTAGCTCGGACAAATAAATTCTGCAACCAAGCGACAGCATGGACGTGGGTGGCTAGCGACACATCTTTCAGACAAGGAGAACCTTTCAGTGTTAATTTAAGCTGATCGTAATTTGCGGGCTTGGACAGAGCTATGTCTGAACAAAAAGACCTTTGAATTATCACTTCATGACCTAATTTTCATATGTGGTCATGTGATCTACATTTCACCTTGCTTTTTTTACGCAGACGCTGGTGGCTGCCAGGCTGTGCCAGTCCGTGGTGAAAGGATTGGAGGCATTTCAAAAGAATCCCGATAACAAGTACGTGTTGGACACACAAGGAAAGCGGATGGCGTTGCCTGCGCAGGCTTTGGGACACTCCGGATGAGCAGCTGCTGGCCACGTGGAGCCGTGTCATTGACGGACCCCATTGAACGACAATCACAGTGCTTTGTCGACATCCAATAAAATCAGCTCTGGCATACGCAATGTGTGAGAAGTCATTGCTGTGGTAGCCCTGACTTATTCAGTCTAAAAGAGTCAGTTGTTTTCGTTAACGGCTATCACATGTTTTAGCACTGACCTCCTCGTTGTTTTTTTACGGAGTGATCTCATCACATATAATGCCTGATCGATTATTATCACATCATTGCTCAGTCTACATATTGTGAGTGCGACAAGCGAATGACTCTTCATTCTCTTTAGATATCATCATCACCTGTACATCTTCATCTTCTGTAAATATCATCACCAGTGTGATTTAGTTCGAGCCTGGCTGAGTAAACCGGTTCCTCACAAGTAGTGGACGGTGCTTTTTGTTCCCTCAAGTCCTCTCACCCGTTCTCGATGGAGCTCTGCTCGAGGTCGTCGCATACAACCCCCAGCCATGGCGGCCCAAGAAAACCCTGGCCCATCCAACGTCGCCGTCCTACTGCAGCCACCGCCACCCGCTCCACCCAACAACATTCGCCTGCATGATCCACCGGTGTTTTCCAGGTCTCCGAGGCGAAGATGTCGAAGACTGGATCAAGAACTACGACCTCGTCAGCAATTTTAACAGGTGGGACAATCCACAGAAGTTGCGCAGCGTCCCATTTTACCTGTCCGATGTGAAAACTTGGTTCTGGAACCACCACCCGGATCTTCCCGACTGGGACACTTTCGAGCAGCAAATTCGTCAAATATTTGGTGCCCCTACAGTTCGCACAGAGGCAGCAAAGAACAAGCTCGCTGAACAGCACTCTGCTGCCGAGTGAATCTTACACCTCTTACATTGATGATGTCCTTGCACTATGCAAGCGCGCGTTAACACCAGCATGTCCGAGAACGACCAAATATGCCACATTATTAAAGGCATTAACACTGTCACCTTTCACGCCCTCGCCACGCAAAATCCTGCCACCACCCAGGACGTGAGAACCATCTGTCAGCGACTTGACGACCTTCACTCTCTTCACCTCTGCTACGATGCCGCCGACATTCGTTTGCCTGCACCCCTCGACTTGCGTGCGCTTATTCGCGACATCGTTCGTGAAGGGCTTCACGGGTGCTGCTCTTCCTGCGCTGCGGAAGTTACTCTCCCTTCTTAAAAAGATAGCTTGCGAGACCTGATTAAACAAGAGATTGCGTCCGCATCGCGTCCGACGTGTTCCAACGGTCCCTGCATGCGCCAGACGCGCACGTACGCCGAAGTTGCCACGCTTTCTGCCGCACCCACCGTTTCCGTGCCTACACCAGCACACCATACGTCTGTGGCTTCGTTGTCACCGCCAGTGCGTGCACCGTCTCACTACGCACCTCAGCGCCCACCTCGACCAATCTGTTACTACTGCGGCTATCGAGGACATATCGCTCGGTTTTGTCGAAGGCGCCAACAAGACGAGCAACGTGGCTACGCACCTGAAGAACATCGAAGCTTCCGTCCAACCATGAACTACCTACGACCACCATCCCGATCGTCCTATTACCCTTCACCGTCTCCTACCTACCATACTGACATGCCTGAGCATTCCCGTATGTCTCGCCGCAGGTCGCCTTTGCCAGGTTGCCATTCAGTGTCGTCTCTGCAGCCCGCCTCTCATTCCACGAACGCCCACTTGGAAAACTCCCCAATGCAGTTTTAGGAGGGGAAACTGCATCCACCATACAGCTAACAATTCCTCCAGAGCGGCCATCGAATTTAATAGTAGTGTTTGTAGAAGGTGTACGCATTGAGGCTCTTGCAGACACTGGCGCTGCCGTTTCGATTATTCGTGCTGATTTATTTTCCCGCCTTCGAAAAGTCACCACACCTTATGGCGGCCCACCTCTGCGTGCTGTGACCAACGCTCTCATTCATCCACTTGCACAGTGTACCGTTCGTGTCTGCATCGAAGGCATTCGTCATCACATCGTGTTCGCGGTATTTCGTCAGTGCTCTCACGCTCTCATTCTTGGGTGGGATTTCTTGTCTTCTGCGTCCGCTTTCATATCTTGTCATCAGCGCCTCCTGCATCTAAATGCCACTGACTCTTCTCCGCCTGAACATGATGGACGCATCCACCTTGTCACCACGTCAGATTATGTACTTCGGGGATACATCGAAGAAATTATAAGTGTTATTTGCACCGACATTGTGGATGGTGACGTACTAATTCTCTCTTATGGCCATACCCTACGTAGGGGCATTGTGATCACACCAGGGCTTATTCGCTTCTTCGATAGGTCTACCTACCTAACCGCCATAAATCAAACACCCGAGTGTGTACTGCTCCCCTGTGGCTCAACAGTATCTTGCGCGGTCGACTGTAAGCCTGTTGCGATTGTTACTCTTCCGAACAGCAACCACAACGATGTCCCAAAGTCACAATCACTGCCATTCAATGCCTCTTCCCCACCTGTGTCAGCAACCATAAGCATTGACTTAACACCTGATCAAACTGAAGATTTTCTCGCCCTGTTGAATGGACACCGTTCTCTAACTGACATGAACTCGCCCGCCCTCAGAAAAACTACCACCGCAATTCACAGCATCCAGACTGACGACTCTCGTATTGTACATCGGCGTCCATAACGCGTGTCTCAGGCAGAACGCAATATCATCGAGGAAAACGTCGCAGACATGCTACGACGCAACATCATACGTCCTTCCTTGACTCCCTGGCCATCCCCAGTTGTTCTCGTTCAAAAGAAAGATGGGACAGTGCGTTTCTGCGTCGACTACCTTGCGATAAACAAAATAATGTGCAATGATGTTTATCCTCTCCCCTCGTATAGACGATTCACTGGATTCATTACAGGGCGCAGAGTATTTTTCTAGCCTCGACCTTAGGTCAGGAACTGGCCGATACCAATGTCAAAGTCTGATAAAGAGATGACCGCCTTTTCAATGACAGATGGGTTGTACGAGTTTAATGCGATGCCCTTTGGACTCTGTAAGGCGCCCGCCACCTTCGAACGCATGAAAGACGGCGTATTGCGTGGTTTGAAATGGAAAACGTGTATGTGCTATCTCTATGACATAGTAGTGTTTTCATCCACGTTTTCGCAGCATCTACAACGTCTTGACAAAGTCCTCAAATGTCTTGCAAAAGCCAGTCTACAGCTTGACACCAAGAAATGTACCTTTGCTAGCAAGACAATGAAGGTTCTCGGCCACCTCGTCAGCAAAGAGGGAATTTCGGCCGGACCCTTAGAAGCTTGCCGCCGTCCTCTATTTTCCTCGTCCACTACGTCAAAAGAACCTGCGCAGGTTTCTTGGGTTATCTTCTTACTTCTGGCGCTTCATACGTGGCTTCGCGGAACTTGCGTCTCCGCTCCATCAACTCCTCGCAAGGAACGTCCCCTTCATTTGGCCCGAAGACTGTGAATGTGCTTTAACGGCATTGAAGCAAGCCCTCACGTCGGATCCGGTACTATGCCACTTCGATTCCGCCACACCGACTATCCTTCACACCGACGCAAGTAGTCATGGTCTTGGTGCGGTACTCTTGCAGGCGTGACAAAAACTCACGCGAACGCGTCGTTGCTTACGCAAGTCGTGCTCTTACCGCTCCAGAAAAGAACTATACTATCACCGAGCAGGAGTGCCTTGCTGTTTTCTGGGCAGTGCAAAGATTCCGGCCATTTCTTCACGGCCGTCATATTATCGTCGTTACCGACCATAACGCCCTATGCTGGCTTTCATCGCTGAAAAACTTATCGGGTCACCTCGGTCGCTGGGTGCTTCGTTTGCAGGAGTATGATTTCGGCGTCGCCTACAGATCTGGAAAGAAGCATCAAGATGCTGATGCTTTATCGTGCTGTCCTCTGCCCAGCGGAAGCCACTCACCATCGATACTCCAAAACGACAGCATCTCTCCAATCGCAGCACTAAGTTCATCAACCTGCCACCCTATCCGTCCTTGTTTCACAACGTGTCCGACCCACTACTGCCGCATCATTGTTGACTGCACGACCGGCTCTACTACTCCTCCAAACGCCAGACTCCGTCGACAACTTAAACAATTTAAGCTTGTCGGTGGTGCTTTATACCGCTACATTTACCACGTCGAAGGCAACAAGTGGGTACCCGTCATCCCACGTTCTCTGCAACGTGAAGTTTTGGAAACCTTTCATGATAATCCAAGTGCCGCTCATCTAGGCTATCACAAGACTTACGACAAAATACGAAGCCGTTGTTTTTGGCCTGGCCTCTCTTCAGCCGTCGCTCATGAGTTCCATTGCCAACGGCGAAAACGACCGACAACTGCTCCGGCTGGCTTAATGCAACCTCTTTTTTGTCCCGCCTCGCCTTTTCAAGTCGTTGGAATTGACTTGTATGGCTCTCTTCCTGTATCATCCAATGGAATCACTGAATTGTCACGGCTGTCGACCACCTTACCTGCCACGCAGAAGCAGCTTCTATACCATCTAGGGACTGCCACTGAAGTTGCCGATTTCTTTCTTCGCCACATCTTTTTGTGCCATGGAGCTCCACGCATTCTCCTGAGTGATCGTGGCAAAGTCTTTCTCTCTTCCATTTTCGAGCAAGTTTTGCGTGCCTCGAACACTGTTCACAAGACCACTTCTAGCTAACACCCGCAGACCAACGGATTGACTAAACTGTTTCACCGGACCCTATCGGATATTATCGCCATGTACATTCACCCCAACCACACGAACTGGGATGCGATTCTAGCCTTCGTGACATTTGCCTAAAATACGGCTGCTCAACGCACTAGCGGCTTTTCTCCATTTGTTCTCGTTCATGGTCGCTCACCGAGTTTCGCTCTGGATGTCTCTTTCCTTTTGGCCCCTGCACCCTCGACGGCTCCTTTCTCTGAAGAATTTTTATCTCGTCTCACACACTGCCGTCACCAGGCCCGTGTTAACACCGGCCTCTCTCAAGACACTCGAAAATCTCACTAAGACTCGTCTCGCCGTGTTGTGAGTTTTTCGCCTGATGACGAAGTTCTTCTGTCCCCGGCTTATGCGACAAATTCATCAGTCGCTTCATTGGGCCGT